GGTGGCCTAGTGGCAAGAAGCTGCACTGCAATCCCAGAGGTGCGCAGTTCGAATCCACCAGATGCTCTGCCGGGGAAGGAGGGACAATCTCCTCCTGTACCAGTCAGATCTGATTTGATGGTACACACACACACACACACGTAATAAAAAAAAAGAAAAAAATTTAAAAAAATATACTCACCAAGGGACCAATTGGCAACATCATGATAAGTGGGGAAAAGACAGAAGTGGTCAGTTATTTCGTCTTATTTGGATCCACAATCCACACTCTTTGCACCAGTAGTTGGGAGATCAGGAGACATTGCATTGGTCGAGTCTGCTGTCATAGATCTCACCAAATTACTAAGGGGCGCCCATTCCTCTTTCTGCCATCTTTCCGTGCCCCCACAGTGGTGCGCATGAAGGTCCTGGCTGACCTCTCAAGAGCATCAACAACACGGAGAAGAGAGGCGAGCCCCAGGCTCTTATTGGGCCACACTCCAAAGTCATCGCTCGGTTCCTGACTGCGATGAGGAAGCGTGGCTACGTTAACGGATTTGAAATCCTTGATGATCGCAGAGCGAGGACAATTGTTGTCAACTTCACAGGCAGGTTAAACAAGTGTGACGTCCTCAGCCCCAGATTTGATGCGCGGCTCAAAGATCTAGAAAAGCGGCCCAATAATCTGCTCTGATCCTGTCAGTTCAGTTTCATTGTCCTGACAACCTCAGCTGGCATCACGGACCACGAGGAAGCAAGATGAAAACACACAGGAGAGGGGAGCTCTGGTGGCCTAGTGACAAGGAGCTGCAACTACAATTCCAGAGGCGCACGGTTCGATTCCACCAGATGCTTTGCCGGGGAAGGAGGGACAATCTCCTCCTGTACCAGTCAGATCTGATTTGACGGTACACGCACACAAAATAATAAAAAAATTAAAAAAAAAATTTAAAAAAATAAAAAAAAAGAAACCCTGTAGATGTTGTTCCCAGCTTATGATAGAGTTCTTTTCCTAAAACCTTGTAGTAACTGGGTTTTGGGATGCATTGAATATTGTTTTGTTTCACTTAGTTTTTAAATTGAATGTTGTTGTTAAGTGCGTTTGAGTCATAGACAACTCAGAGCAATGCTATGAACGAAAGACCTGAACACCTATATAACTTTCATCATTTTTCCACGTTCACAGAGTCTCCAGAGACAAGCTATTTCAGAAGTGGATGCCACTCCTGCTTCCAAGTTTGTTTTAATTGGGGAGCTCACCAAACACTGTCCACCATGGGGAACCAATATTGCATTTGACACATCAGTGTCACAATGTTCAGCTTCACAGCAGCCACGAGTTGCCTCTGTTTAGCCATGCACAGACCAGTGCTATAACACTTAGAAGAATGTTTGATCAAAAACAATTAAAACCAGCCTGAAGGCTGCAGATTAAAATCACCCACCTTTGGCTTGGTAGCATCACTTTCTGTCCATGAGGCCAACAGAGCTCTCTCTTTGTTGGTGTTGGTGTTGTTAATGCCGCCGAGTTGTAGA